TTTTAAAGGGATAGTTCAACCAACAGTGAAGATTCAGTCATCATTTACTCACACTTCATTTGTTCCAACTCGTTTTGAGCTTTTTTGTTCTGCTAAACACACACACACACACACACACACACGCATGCACGCATGCACGCACGCACGCACGCACGCACACACACGCGCGCACGCACACACATGCACAAACTATATTTTGTTAAATGTTTGAATCCTGAATTCTCTAGGGTTTGTTTCTTTTACTATGGAAGTCAATGGTTACAGGTTTCAAAATATCTTCTTTTGTGTTTAACAAAAAACTCAAACTGGTTTGGAACAAGTCCAAAGGTGAAAAAATGTGCATGTTTTTTACGTTTCTTCATTTACTAAAAATGATGGAGAAAAGAAAAATTGGGTTTTAAAAAACTTTTATTTTTTATTTCTTTATTTTATTATTTTTCTCTGAACATTCAAAACATTTAAAAAATGCATTCATTTTTAATGCGAATGTGAACAAAACATGACTATTTATCTTTTTGTATACACTGTCAGAAATAAAGGTACGAGAGCTGTCACTGGTGTGGTACCTTTTCAAAAGGTATACAGTTGTACTTAAAGGGTCCATATTGGTACCTCAAAAGTTTATATTAGTACCTAAAATTTTAAGAGAAACACTTTTATACTTTTTAGGTACTAATATATACCCTTGAGGTATTAATATGGACCTTTTAGGTACATATCTGTACCTTTTGAACACTGTACCAGCACAGTGACAGCTCACATACCTTTATTTCTATGAGTGTACATCATGGAATGCTTTTTAAAAAAAAATTAATAATAGTTTCAGAAAAAAAAAATACTCTGAATTCATTTATTGTGTTTTACTATTATTGTTATTATTATTATTTGAATATTCAAAACATTTGAAGCTTTATCGTAGTTATGCAAATGTTTACCAATGCAAATGCTCTCCTTTACATGCTATTTTTAAAGATTAAAAATATATATATATATAAAAAAAAAAACATTTTAGGGAGAAAAACTTAAACATTTTCACTTTGAATTAATTTTCTGCAATTTTTTTTATCATTTGAGGGTAAAATTATTAAATGAGTGACGTGAACTTCTTGACATTACTGGAAGAAAATTTATTAATAACTTTTCAGGATAAAAACTCTACAGTTGAGTATAAATGAAGACACTTTTTAACAAACATTTATGAAATAGTGCCATTAGATCTATATAGTTAGATGGAATATCTCAGAACTAAACTTCATCTGCTTTTTAAAGGGATAGTTTACCCGAAAATAAAAATTCAGTCATCATTTACTCACACTTTAATTGTTCTATCCCAGTTTGAGCTTTTTTGTTCTACTAAACACACACACACACACACACACACACACACACACACACACACACACACACACACACACACACACACACACACACACACACACACACACACACACACACACACACACACACACACACACACACACACACACACACACACACACACACACACACACACACACACACACACACACACACACACACACACACACACACACACACACACACACACACACACACACACACACACACACACACACACACACACACACACACACACACACACACACACACACACACACACACACACACACACACACACACACACACACACACACACACACACACACACACACACACACACAACACACACACACACACACACACACACACACACACACACACACGCACACACAATATTTTGATAAATGTTGAAAACTTGTAACCACTGACTTCCATAACTTTTGTTTCTCTTACTATGGAAGTCAATAGTTACAGGTTTCCAACATTCTATAAAATATCTTCCTATGTGTTTAACACAACAACAGAAACTGATTTGAAACAATTCAAGAATGAGTGAGCGATGACAGAATTAAAAATTTAGGTTGAACTATCCTTTTAAAGCTTGCTTTGATGTGCGCCGTTGGATTGATGGAGCAATGGTGTTTCCCATTGTTCATTCTTAACATTACAAAGGATTAAAAACAGTTAATATTCAATAACTTCATATTTACTGGAGCACAAAAACAAGTTTGTTTATCCGAGTTAAAGTTTTTTTTTCTGAGATTATGCCGCCCTCTGCTGGCTGAATTTCAGATCACACCCTGCAGCTCTTATCAAAATAATAGACGAGAATATTCACAAAGTCTAAGGGTCAAGGTTGAGTTGATGCAGTGATTGTGGGAAATGACGTCATAAAGTGACTCATAATGACCTGGCATTCCTGTAATAGGATATAATCTGTTATATAAAAATCCATCAGTGCAATTTAGTGAGCCATTCGTTTTTATCAGCCCGTTTTCCAATGCCTTTTAAAATACATAATCTCTGAGTGAGCAATGATTAACTAACAGACATTAAATGTTGAAGTCCTAAAAAACTGAACACAAGATCCTCATTACTCATTATTTTAATTATTGTAATAATTACAGTAATATATACAGTAATTTGAACAGCGGAAGTAAAATGTACTGATAATTAGATATTACTAATAGCATCTTATGAATAAACAGATAAATAAAAGCACAACATATTTTAAAATATCCATCCAATACAAAATATAAAACTTGGCTCACTTTCCTTAAGCAGTTTCACGTCATACAAAGATATCACATTCTTATTAGAAAAAGCAGGACAATAAAGTGAAATTTATAAAACATGTTTTGTACAATATTTTGATGTTATCGTTCTTGAACATGAGTGCAAGAAAATACATGCTGTAGCCCATAAAAATACAATATCTGAACACTTAAAATGTGTGCATTAGGTGGAATATGATTTTTAAAGGGATAGTTCACTCAGAAATGACAATTCTAGACTATATCAGAGGCTTACCCTGTTCTGTTGACATCAGCTCTAATACACAGTAAATTACTGAAGAGTGCAAATGTTGACTACCTAAAGGGATCTTTTCATCTCTCTCTCTACTCTTATTTACTCTTATTTGTAAACTTGCTCATTTTTTTTCCGAGGATATGTTTGTTTTTAATTAATTAATTTTATTTTATTTTGAGGGGATTGTGGGAAAATAAAAAATCTAAGACAGTCTGTAAGTTTTCTTAATCTGTATTATATACACTGAAAAAAAAGATTCCTGCATAATTGTTGCAATCATTTAATATGGGCTGTATTTAAACAAACACTTTAAATTTATTAAAGTTCAACTTAATATATTGGTTTAAATTCAGCCCAAATAAATTGTTTACATCCACTTACCTTAAAAAAAAACATTGTAAATTTAAGGAGTCATCTTTTAATTTTTATATTATTTTTTCTGCGTACTATAATGTATGGTCTTATTAAATGCCAATAAAAAATAAAATTAGCAAGAAATTTCTGTCATCGTTCACTCAAACTTCACTTGTTTCAAACCTTTTTGACTTCTTTATTAGAAACAAAAAAAATAAGTTTTTTTAATTATACATTTTAAAGAAAACAAATACTATGAAAGTCAATGGTTACATATAGTTTTTAAAATATATTTATAAAAAAAATGAATAAATGCAAATAGTACACTTTTGCTGCTTGTTCAAACTACTTATTTAAAATGAGCTCAAACAACATAATTCTTGAGTTGTTTTTTTTTTGGGGGGGTGCTTTAAGGTTTTATGTTCAATCAACTTAACATTGTAAAACCTATTAACGTAATCAATTTGCATTGGGACGACATGGGATGTTTTTACAGTGTAATAAAATGTGCATTTTTGTGCGAACTATCCCTTTAAGATGCATAGCATAAGCGTATATTTTATAAGACACTGTTATCTGAGTCCAACTACTTCACACAACCCAAGCTCATTATTGATACGCACCCCTAAATACATTTCTGGAGAGTGTGAAATACATCCCAGGAGGTATATTTTTTTTTTAAATTTTTGGTTTTCTGAATCCGCCAGAGGATGCTGTAAACACTTTTTGAGATCTGCACCTGCTGTTCTCATGTACATCCACCAGAGGCTGCTGTTGACTGACTGACTGACTGACTGACTGACTAACTAACCAGCCAATACCCTCACCCACTCTCTTCCCGAAACCCAAGTGATTGTGTTTTCAAAAGCACTAATTGATCCAGCCACCCACTTCCCTAAACTTCCCTGATTTTTACCACATTTACAGATTTCACAACATGCTCACACTGTTATTTACTTGTTTATTTAATCGTTTGCTTTCTGTGTTTGTTTTACCTGCTTTCTAGAACCGTTCTTCTTTGGACCTGAACCCTGTCGTCCCTGTCAACACCACTCTGCATCTCCCATTTGCTAATGTACATTGCGAGCCACTGGGCAAACTGGTAACCTTGGAAAAGCCGTCCATACAGATGTAAGCAGTCGGATGGTAGCGCGAGAAGAAACAGAAGCCGTCAGAGGCATCACACCACCCCATAGCATTCATTTTAAAGATGAAATGCAGCCAATTGTACCTCTGGCTACATAATTCATGCTCTCCAGAAATGTATACAGGGCTACGTATTCACAATGAGCCTGTGTTGACTTTTAATGGGCTTTAGTGTATATGTATAGTCCAGTGTTTCCCAATCCTGTTCCTGGAGGCACACCAACATTACTTATTTTGGATGTCTCTCTTATCTGACCCAATCATTTCAGGTTTTCGTGTCTCTAATGTACTGATAAGTTGGTTCAGATGTGTTTAATCAGGGAGAAGTTGAAAATGTGTACTGTTGGTGTGCCTTCAGGAACAGGGTTGGGAAACACTGATATATAATGAATACAATTTTATGGTTATAAACAAAGTTCAGTTCTGCAGTTCCAACACAATCTCACGGCAATTCGTAACTTTTTCATTTAGTGGCTAATTCGTACAAATTCGTACAATCTAATTCGTACATTTTAGTACGATTTGCGTATCCCCCAATGACGGTTGGGTTTAGGGGTGGGGTTAGGTGCCACGCCTCCTTTTTAAAATCATACATTTTCTTACGACTGAACTCGTACGAATTCGTACGAATTAGCCACTAAACTGCCAAAACGTAAAATACTTACGTTTTCTCGTGAGATCAGTTCTGCAGTTCACATTAATGTTACCGTTTGAGAATAATGGACTCATTTCAGCTCCTGTGCTGTTTTCTGACTTTAGAAGAGCATGATGTCTATGGGCGCGTCCTCTGTTGGTTTCTCCTGCTCTTTGCGGCGTGTGTACATGGCGTGGACGTACAAATAGACCACAAGGATAGCCAGCAAGTTTACACAGATGTACGGGATCAGGAGAAAGAAACCCAAATGCAAGGTAATTTCATTTTTTCGCAGCATTACGTTGGCCTCGTCGGCTTTTACCAGAGTCTCGAACATCTCACCCGCATACGCGTTCGACACGTAGAAAATCAGCGACAGAGCGGATGCACAGACTGGAGAACATAAAAGGGAAGAAAAGATCATTAAAACAGGTTTAATATGATTCAAGCCTGCAACTAAAACCAGATTTTTATAACTAAACATTTAAAAAAGAACAATATACTGTGAAGATAAATATGTTAATGAACAGTTTCTGTATTTTACATTTCAAGAGTGTTTTTTTTTTATGTTTGTGATTATGAATTAAAATATAGGTGCTTTTATCTCTGCTCTTTTGATGTTGAAAATTCAACTCTGCAGATTTATAAAGTGACTTTATTGACATTTTAGTAGTTTGAAACAATTAAGAAATTATTTATGTAGAAAAAAGAAAAACTGTTTATTTGTCAGGTTTTTGTGACCTAATCTACTACCGCAATACAGACTGTAAATCCCTTCAAACTATTAAAAATGACAATTAAAGTCAAATATATGAGTCATGAATACTGGACAACCTAAAGAAAGATCATTAAAACAGGTTCATTATGATTTAAGCCTGCAACTAAAACAAGATTTGCATATCAAAACCTTTTAAAAGAGCAACAATATACTGTGAACAAATATGTTAATGAACAGTTTCTGTATTTTACATTTCAAGGGTGTTTTTTGTATATTTATGATTATAAATACAAATATAGGTGCTTTTATCTCTGCTCTTTTGACTCTTGATGTTGAAAATTCAACTCTGCAGTTTAATAAAGTGACTTTATTGACATTTTTATAGTTTTAAACAATTTATTGTAGGTGCTATAAGAAATTATTTACCTAGAAATAAGAAAAACTGTTCATTTACCAGGTTTTTGTAACCTAATCTACTACAGCAATACAGACCGAATATCACTCCAAACTATTAAAAATGACAATAAAAGTCATATATATCAGTCATAAATACTGGACAACATCAACAGGTAAATTTTTAACTAAAACAAGATTTTTATAACTAAACATTTTTAAAAAGCTGTGAAATACTGTAAAAAAATGAATATGTTAATTGACATTTTCTGTATTTTGAATTTCAAGGATGTTTCCCATTTATGTGTGATTATAAATTAAAATAGGGCTTTTATATCTGCTTATTTCATGTTGAAAATTCAACCCTGCAGTTTAATAAAGTGACTTTATTGACATTTTTATAATTTAAAACAATTTATTGCAGGGGATATAAGAAATTATTTACCTAGAAATAAGAAAAATAAGAAAAACTGTTCAATTACCAGGTTTTTGTAACCTAATCTACTACAGCAATACAGACTGTATATCACTCCAAACTATTAAAAATGACAATAACAGTCATTTATATGAGTCATAAATACTGGACAGCATAAACAAAGATCATTAAAACAGGTTCATTATTAACTAAAACAAGATTTTTATAACTAAACATTTTAAAAATGCAGCGAAATACTGTAAAAAATGAATATGTTAATGAACAGTTTCTGTATTTTGAATTTCAAGGGTGTTTTTTGTATATTTATGATTATAAATAGAAATATAGCTGCTTTTATCTCTGCTCTTTTGACTTTTGATGTTGAAAATTCAACTCTGCAGTTTAATAAAGTGACTTTATTGAAATTTGTATAGTTTGAAACAATTTATTGCAGGGGCTATAAGAAATTATTTACCTAGAAATAAGAAAAACTGTTCATTTACCAGGTTTTTGTAACCTAATCTACTACAGCAATACAGACTGAATATCACTCCAAACTATTAAAAATGACAATAAAAGTCATATATATGAGTCATAAATACTGGACAACATATAAACAAAGATTATTAAAACAGGTTAGTTATTAACTAAAACAAAATTTTTATAACTAAACATTTTTAAAAAGCAGCGAAATACTGTAAAACATGAATATGTTAATTAACAGTTTCTGTATTTTGAATATCAAGGATGTTTCCCATTTATGTGTGATTATAAATTGAATTATAGGTGCTTTATCTGTGCTCTGTTGACTTTTGATGTCAAAATTCAACTCTACAGTTGTAACTGAACAGTACAAAAGTGGCTTTTATTGAAATTTTAGTAGTTTGAAAGAATATATTGTATATACCTGGTTTTTGTAACATAATCTAAAACACCAATACAGACTATATATCACTTAAAACTATTAAAAATTACAATAAAAGTCACTTTTTCAATCTTTTCCACATCAAAAGTTGTTGGAGCAATGTTTAAGCTATAGTGGCCACATATGTGGACAGCACATTTTAGCTCTTAAGTGGCTATTTAAAATACTTTGAATGTTTTATATTATGTTACAGACATACAGCGTCATCCTGCAACTGTTGTGCAGCGTATGAAATGTCCCAAACACTATTTTTAGCTGTCCAAAATGGGCCAAAAATGTGGTTTTTAATCTCTAATAGTAAAAACATGTTGTAAAAAAAGGTTATATATGCATTAAAAACAGTCATGAAAAGGGTTTTATGTAAATTTGCACCACGGGTCCACATATATGGACATAATTTTTCTCTAAAAGTACATCGTATCGAAAGATGATACTTAGGTTTTATTCAGTAGGTTCCAATAAGCCCAAATAGCAAAGAGAAATAAACAAATGCATGTAAAAATTACCTTGAAGAGGTTAAAGCAATTCAAAAGCAAAAAAAATACAGAAAACAGGTCATTTACAGATGTTATGTATTGAGGATGTGTAAGTATATAGATTTGAACGTATTCATTGAGTCGAAGTTTCCGGATGATCCTGCATTACTTCCAGTTGTTAACTGGGAATGACATACCAATACCAAACTTGTGTAATAACAATAATTGTGTAATAACAATAATTATTAATAATTTTTTTTATGATTTTATGACTACGCAACAAGCTAATTCAGCTAAAATTGTGCTTAAAATCTCACTGATATGCAGTATTTAAATTTCATAATTAGGGCTGCACGATTAATAAAAAAAAAATCAGGATGTCGATTTGACCCTACACACGATCTTAATTCAGCTTTTCTACGATTCAGCCAATTATATTTTCAAGTTCAGGAGAAAAGCAAGGCAGTCGCACAAGTCTTCACTGCAACATTGAGACCTTCATATGGCGTTAAAAGTGTCACATATTGTATTTATTAGGCATAATTCACCCAGAAATGTCATTTCTGTCTTCATGTAATGATTTATTCACGGCTACGAAATCACACGTGAGCTGAAGCAATGTTTGTTTACTACCGAGAACGTGCGCGTGTGCACGCATGACGCCTACTTTAGAGAACAGAACTTGCATAGGCTGTGAATAACAGGTAATAAAGTTGTAAATAACATTCAGTTTGTTGCACAGAGCGATCGTTTGAGGGCCGTGCGGGAGGTTTGATTTGCATGTATGTGTTTTTCTCACAGTGACAGCAGCCATGAGCTGCACTCGGAAGTGGAAGTGAAACCTGTGCGCACATCATTTAAATGACCATATCGCATTTAAGAGTTAGGATTACGGCAAGCATTTGATATGTTTTTTTTTTATTCTTACATGGCGAACACAGAGTGTTGTGCATGAAAATAAATGTTAACTGGGTCAGTATAACAACCATGGCCTATATATGATGAAAATATAATGGTCTATTAATGTTGTCAATGACAGCCCTAACCCCATGCACCAAGCTGTCTACTGTCCTGATCTCAGATTAGGCACTTTTTCTTGTCATTTAATCAAATGCACGCAAAACAGCAATGAGATTGAATTATCTTTGATTGTGTCGAAAGTGTAAGTGTGTGTTTTCTCACCACTAAGCCCACTGCATGTGTAAAGCCCAACTGGTCCCATGTAGGTCTGATATGGATTACTGAAGCTGTTATACAGTGTGACCAGAATACTGCCCGCAGAGCCCAGAAGAGCCAGAGCTAACAGAATCACCACCAGACCGTGCAGAATAACCGGAGCTCCTGATAATTTGGCCAGACGATCAAACACTAAGAGACAGAAAAGAGAAAAACACTATTAGAATATTCATGTAGATACATATTTTTTGGGGGTCCAAAATTGACAACCATTTTAGATCCTTGTTTAATTTGCTTTTCTCTCTCTATGTCAAAATGTACATTAATATTCTAAAATGTGAGACATTCAACGTAGGATCATTCCAACCCAAGCTCATTCTGAAAACGTAGTCCCGCGGACGTTTCTGGAGACAGCGGAATACGTCCCGGGGGGTACGTACGGCTGCGTTTATTTTTTTCAAGCAAACGCTGCGGGGCGGTGTGACGCCGTTCCCTTTCGCGCTTGCCTTACCTCCTTGTGGAGGGCTTCCCCGCTGCAACCCGTTTGTCCACTCAGCTCAGCGTGTACCTCGGCAGGCTTGAGATGCAGAAAGGAGTCGACCACGGCGACCGGTTTCGAGTCCGGGAAAGAGCGGTTCCAGCAATCAGGTAAGACAAAAACAGAATCCCAAAAATTAAGTGAACGAGTTTCGTAACAGGGTGAGAACGCGGCAAAATCCGAAAACGCGGTGGACTAAAAAAAAAAAATCAGGGCTTTTATTTTTTTGGACGGCTTTTGTGAACTGTTGCTCGGGTTTAGGGAAGCGAGCGGGCGGGCGAGCGGGCGGGTCGATTGGTAAAATTGGTTGGGTTCAGGGAAGGAGGAGGGCGAGTCGGCCGATTGGCCGGTCGCACAGTCAATCATCCGGTCAGTCGGACAGCGGCCTCCGGCGGGTTCACGCAAGTTCGCGCCCGCGAGAGGCGTCTGAGGTGCGAAAAAGCGGACAACAGCGGCCTCTCGCGGATTCGCAAAAACAGAAACTGCAGCCGTACATACCCACCGGGATGTATTCCGCGGTCTCCAGAAACGTCCGCGGGACTACGTTTCCACAATGAGCCTGGGTTGGATCATTCTGAAAACGTAGCCCTATATACATTTTTGGAGATCCTGAATTATGTAGCCAGAAGTACATTTGGCTGCATTTTATCTTTAAAATGAATTCTACAGGCGGTATGACGTCATTCCTTTTTGCGCTAGCAGCTTACCGCACACCTACATATGGACATCTTTCTTACTGTTACTAGTTTGTCCAGTGGCTTGTAGTGTACGTCGCCGGACTTAAGACGCAGAGAAGAGTTGACCGCAATGACAGGGTTCAAGTCAAATGAAGAACAGTTCCAGAAAGCAGGTAAGACAAAAACAAAAGCCAAAAATAAAATAAGCAAGTAAATAACAGGGTAAGAATGTGGTAAAATCTAAAGATGTGGTAAAAATTAGGCGGCCATGAGGGCGTTTCTTTTTCTGAATTGCTTTCGAAAACATTTTCGGTTGGGATTAGGGAATGAGGGTGAGCACTGGTCAATCTGTGCTTTTGAAAACACTATTGGTTGGGTTTATTGAAGGAGGGGGTGAGTCAGTCGATTGGTCAGTCAGTCAGTCAACAGCGGTCTCTGGTAGATTTAAACAAGAACAGCATGCGCGAATGGCATTCAAGAGAGAAATTTAAGATCTCAAAGCATACACAGCGGCCTCTGGTGGATTAGTGAAAACAAAAACTGCAAAATAACGTAGCTCCTGTGACGTATTTGGTGCTTTGCAGAAATGTATATAGGGATACATAATAAGAATGAGCCTGGGATGCAGATATTTGTAAATTATTGGGAAATCCTATAAAGTTTGGGGAGAAATAAGTATATGCATGTAGATGAAGAATGCACAAACATCGATTTTGAAATAAAACGACAATTCGGCGTATTCTTAAAAATAAAGATTCTTATTTACTTGTTCATGTCCTCTTATTTTATACATCAGCTCATTCATTCATTCATTTTCTTTTTGGCTTAGTCCCTTTTTTAATTCGGGTCGCCACAGCGGAATGATCCGCCAACTTATCCAGCACACGCTTTATGCAGCGGATGCCCTTACAGCTGTAACCAATCTATCTCTGGGAAACATCCATACACACTCATTCACACACTCATACACTACGGACAATTTAGCTTACCCAATTCACCTGTACCACATATCTTTGGACTGTGGGGGGAAACGGAGCACCCGGAGGAAACCCACTTGAACATGCAAACTCCACACAGAAACACTAACTGACCCAGTCGAGGCTCGAACCAGCGACCTTCTTGCTGTGAGGTGACAGCACTACCTACTGCGCCACCGCGTCGCCAACATCAGCTCAATGTCTTACAACTATATCCATTTAAGTATTCTGTTTAGAGAAGGTGGGACTGGGGTGGAGGGTGGACAGAAAAGAAAGTTTACATTTATTTTGAAATTATTCTGTATTGTTGATGCGAACAACAAATTTATTGGTAATTTTTTAAATATAAAAACATAGATTCTTCAGTGCCTTCTATCGATTTAAGAATAGTTTACATCCTCTCAAACTTTTCCTTACAAAAATGGGCAACATTAGTTTAAGTACCAATTCTCGCTAGTAATCACTGGCTTATTATCTGCTTATTATTAAGATATTGCATCCTTTATTTATAAACTTCAGCTAGTACAAAATGCAGCTGCCAGAGTTTTTACCAGGTGTAGAAAATATGATCGTATCACCCCAATTTTATCCTCCTTACACTGGCTGCCTGTTAAGTTTCGTATTGAATTTAAAATATTGCTTCTTACCTATAAAGCTTTAAATAATCTAGCTCCTGTTTATCTAACCAACCTTCTGTCTCGCTACAATCCAACCCGCTCGATAAGATCTCAAAACTCAGAGCTTCTAATAGTACCTAGAAAAGCAAAGTCGAGTAAAGGAGGTCAAGCCTTCTTATTTATGGCTCCTAAACTCTGGAATAGCCTTACTGATAATGCCCGAGGCTCAGACACACTCTCCCAATTCAAAACTAGATTAAAGACCTATATTTTTAGCAAAGCATCCACACAGTGAATCACTTAGCAGTATGATACATGTATGTGCTCCACGCAAGTTTCTGCATCTCCTTTATATACACTATGAACAGCAGCTACGCTAATTATTTTCATTTTATATTTCCATCTGGAGATATTCATCCTGAGGCCCTCAGACTATGCAGCGCCACTGATTCAATGCAAGACCAGTGACGAGATGATCCCAAGGTTTCCATAATCCTGGACCAGGCCGTATCCAGATTAGCTACTGTGGTAGTCACGGAGGAGTGGAAAGCATGAGAATGATTCCTGTGATGCTCCAGGGACAGACGAGTCTTCACTTAGGTCGAGCATTCTCCAGCCTCCGGTGCCTAGACTGCAGCTCTGCACAAGACGTTTGGCCATAGGAGAAATGGTCGTGCCCAACTGAGCCTGGTTTCTGTCAAGGTTTTTTAATTCTTCATTTTCGCCATTGGTGAAGTTTTTTCCTGCCGCTGTCGCCACTGGCTTGCATGGTTTGGGATCTGTAGAGCTGCGCATCAATGGATTGCTTTTCAGTGTTTGGACTCTCAGTAGTGATTATTAAACCACACTGAACTGAGCAAGGGCGACGCAGTGGCGCAGTAGGTAGTGCTGTCGCCTCACAGCAAGAAGGTTGCTGGTTCGATCCTCGGCTCAGTTGGCGTTTCTGTGTGGAGTTTGCATGTTCTCCCTGCGTTTGCGTGGGTTTCCTCCTAGTGCGCCGGTTTCCCCCAGAGTCCAAATACATGCAGTACAGGTGAATTGGGTAAGCTAAATTGTCTGTAGTGTATAAGTGTGTGTGTGAATGCTGTGGCGACCTCGGATTAATAAAGGGACTAAGCCGAGAAGAAAATGAATGAACTAAGCCAAACTGAACTGAACTTAAACTCTGAAAACTGAACTACAGTTTCAATTTACTATGATCTTCTATGTGAAGCTGCTTTGACACAGTCTACACACTGTAAAAGCGCTATAGAAATAAAGGTGAATTGAATTGAATTAAATAGAATAATGTCTGTTTATTAGTACTTAGTAAACTTAAGTACTAAGTAAGTGTTATTCTACATCCTTAATTTTATCCAATAGCTAAACCCAATTACTACCTTACTAACTTTTAATAAGAAGCAAATCAGTAGTTTATTGAGCTAATACTCTCAGTTAATGGTTTGCTAATAGTGAGAATTGTCCATTAAAATAAAGTGTGCTTCAAAATTATATTTAAAGTTCTTCACAAGTTCTTCAGGGTTATTTGGAAAACCCATGACAGTTCTGTAATTTGATTATTTAAGAGTGAATATAAACCTGTCATGCATTTTATATGAAATGGTGGTTCAAATTCCTGGTAATTCCAAAGGTCATGCTAGTTTATCATTTTAATTGTGCTTTAGCTTTCATTTGCTACTCGTTTTGGCTTTAATGTCACAATATCGAATGCTGTTTGGATACTTAAATTACATCAGTGTATTTAGATATATACATTAATCCAAATAGCATTGGCACTCAGATATTGACGTATTACAACATTTCATCATCAATTTAAAATTGATGGCAAATGTATAAAGTCAGTTGTCAAGTTTACATGTGTTTGAATCACACAGCACTTCACTATTGGTCTTCGTTTAGAACAATATCTGCTGTTTTATTATTTTCAACCCAACACTATTATATTTTGCATAGTTTTGCTTAAATAATTTGCATGATATCTTTCAGTAAAATAGATTATTGGGGTTATATTTTGTTATTAAACGGAAGTTAGTTTCATGAAGTTTAACTTAGTTATTTTGGTCCAGACTAAAAGACAATGTTATATTTAGTGCCGGTTTCACAAATGCTAGGTTGTTGTAACCCAATGTTGGGTCAAATATGGACAAACCCAACCATTAGGTTTGAAAGTGTCCTTTAAATTAGAATTTAAAAATCATCCCAATGTTGGGTTTGTCAATATTTGACCAAATGTTGGGCTGTGCAACATATTTCAGAGTGTTGTAACATTCAAATTTTCGTCAAATGAAAATGTGAAAAGTGTCGGCGCCAGTGGTGTAGTGGTTAGTACGTCGACACATGCACTCCGGTGCTCACGGCGACCTGAGTTCGATTTTTGCTTCGCAGTCCTATGCAGATCCTTCTCCTCTCTCTGCTCCCCATGATTTCCTGTCAATACTCTCTACTGTCCTATCCAATAAAGGTGAACACCCCCCAAAAAAAAAAAAATAAATAAATAAATAAATAAAAATATATGAAAAGTATAGATGGTATTTACTCGTAAATTGTCAGAAGAACTTATTTTCAAATGGCATCAATTTAAATAAACATAAAAATGTGAAGTAAAACCACTGAAATATTCAAATCTGAAATAAAAAACAAACATTTTTTTATTTTATTTATTTATTTTTTTTTTGTAAGATATAGACAAACCCAAGCCCAAGTTCAAAAATGAACATTTGCTCACCATTAACTCACACCCAAGTAATTGCAAGCCTTTTTGAATTTCTTTAACAGCTTGAACACAAGGGAAGATATTTTGAAGAAAGCTGAAAACCGCTTAAAAACATTATGGAAGTCCACTGTATTTCAGCTTTCTTAGAAATATCTTCTTTTGTTTGGAACAAATGAAGGATGAGTCAAGAAATTATGACAGAATATTGAGTTTTAAGTGAACTAACCCTATAAACCCATGCAAACTGTTGGGTTTGTCCATATGGAATGGAAGGAATGGAAACAACTCAGCATTACACTAATAAATGTAATAAAAAAGCATAACCTACACTGTAAAATATAGCTGTTGATTAACAATATGATATAACTGTTTATTTACTGTTGTCAATTGCATTATGGTGTGTTGATCTCTGCTCTGTCGACTTTTGATGTTGAAAGTTCAACTCTTGTTATACACTTTAGTAGTTTGAAAAAATATTCATTCATTCATACATTTTCTTGTCGGCTTAGTCCCTTTATTTATTCGAGATTGCCACAGCGGAATGAAACACCAACTTATCCAGCACATTTTTACGCAGCCATCCAACCGCAACCCATCTCTGGGAAACATCCACAAACACATTCACACACACACTCACACACACCGAACAATTTTAGCCTACCCAATTCACCTGTATCGCATGTCTTTGGACTGTGGGGGAAACCGGAGCACCCGGAGGAAACCCATGCGAATGCAGGGAGAACATGCAAACTCCACACAGAAATGCAAACTGGCCAAGCTGGGACTCGAATCAGTGACTTTCTTGCTGTAAGGCGACAACATTACCTACTGCGCCACTGCGTCGCCTTGAACTAATATAATGTATTATAAATAATACATAGAGAAATATAGAGTGGCACAATGGCTCAGCGGTTAGCATTGTCACCTCACAGCAAGAAGGTCACTGGTTCGAGTCCCAGCTTGGCCAGTTGACATTTCTATATGGAGTTTGCATGTTCTTCCATGTTGGCGTGGGTTTCCTCCGGTTACCCAAGTTTCCCCCAGAGGCTGTAGTGGCTGTAGTGTATGAAATTGTGTGTGTGTGGGTGTTTCCCAGTACTGGGTTGCGACAGGAAAGGCATTCACTGTGTAAAACATATGCTGGAAGTTGGCCTTTGAAATAGAGACTAATTTGAAGGAAAACGAATGAATGAATATAGAGAAATAAGTTTGTGAACTGGCAGTTTTTATAGCGTAATATACACCAACCCATGCGATATAACACTTTAACCTAATAAAAATGTTTTTAAAAGTCTATTTTTTCAACTTTTCAAGGTTAAAAATTGTTAAAAGGAAAATCAACATCCCATATTGCAAGTCAAAAGCAGAAATAAAATGAAAACAATTAAAACATGAATCCCCAAATGCTAAAAATTGCTAATTTACGTAAGCTTTTTCATTGTAGCATGCAGGAAATGAATCATATTCTTTGTGTGATGCTCACCCTTAACATTTTGTCCAAGTTTGTCAATCCTGGGACACTTGAATTTGGACTCCGTGCCATTGAAAAGTCCGATTTCGAGATGGGAGGAACCATTGAATTCTTTACTGTCGAGTGGTGCACATTCCAAAGAGGCCGAGGCCCAGTTCGTCGACATCCCATAACCCAACACGGCCACTCCAGCACCACAGAGAAAAGCACTAGACAAGAAATGCAGCAGCTTCTTACTAGACGGCATTTTGTAAATATTGTCTTTTTTTTCCTCCTAGTTTTGTCGCTCTTGACGCGTTGTGACTGGAAACTGGAGAACTTGGGAATAGGCGAGGTGTTGGTTGGCGCTGGAGGAGTAATAAATGCTGTTGCATCGGTTGTACTTTGTCACTGACCTGAGAACAGCATCAAGTGTTTCCCTGTTATGGCCTAGGATTGGAGGTAAGGTGTGTACATCTGATCACAGATGAGCTTATGATGGAACTCCATCACCAGGAGGGCAATAAAGCCATAAAGTAATCGTCTGTACAGCTGCTCGTGTTGTCATGGCGTTTATATCGGACTTCATAACATCATAAAGAGCGTGACGTGGGGTTTATTCACTCTGAGGACAAAAAATCCTGCTTTCTGACAGTACAGAAGTCCTTCTATTTTACAATCATGCTTTTATCACAGGGCACATGAACGAGGCAGCCTTGGGCTTAACGTTTATGATTCATAATTAATATGACACGCTCTAAACATGATTCTTTGCTGCTTGTTCAAACTACTTAATTAAATGAGATGAATCAACACAATTCTCGAGGGTTTTTTAGGGACAACTTAATTGTTGTATGTTTAATCCACCTAAATTTTCACAAAAATTTTCAATTTGTGTTGGGACAACATGAAGGAATTCAAATGGACCTTTTTAAAATTTTAGTATTGATTGGTACCAGATTCCAGTTTCGAGACAACACTAGTTCAGTCCACCTAAACTTGTAAACATGATTAGGTTAACTTAATCGATTTGTGTTGGGACAACATGAAAGAGTTATGTGGAACCCAGCATTATTTCCAGTGCAGTAGCGGTCAGGGGCGGACTTAATCAATAATTGAGGTAAGCAGCCGCTTCAGAGCCCCAGGAAATTAGGGGACCCCAACCAATGCAAAAACGCCTATATTAATCATATAGCTCTTTTATAAATGATCCATCATGTGTTGTAAAATTAGGGTGGCACGGTTAGCACTGTCATCTCACAACAAGAAGGTTGCTGGTCAGTTGGCATTTCTGTGTGGAGTTTGCATGTTCTCCCTGTATTCTCGTGGGTTTCCTCCAGGTGCTCCGGTTTTCCCCACAGTCCAAAGACTGAATTGGCTGTAGTGTGTGAGTGTGTGTATGGGTGTTTTTTTAGTACTGGGTTGTGGCTGAAAGGGCATGCGCTGTTTAAAACATCCTGGAATAGTTGGCAGTTCATTCCACCATGCAACCTCTGAAATAGAGACTAAGCTGAAGGGAAATGAATAAATCAATGTTGTATAATCTGTCTATAACCATTAAGATTTTAAAGTTATTACTTCTTTTCAAAACTAGGGGCTTTCCATGAATAGTGGAATGTTCCTCTCGTACTGCACGTGCTAATATTAAAATCTAATCACAAATATGGCGAATTAACTACTTTTTTTTTTTTGTGAATTTATTATGTATTATTTATTAAATTTTACATTAAGAAGATAAAGGTTTCATTCATTAATTCATTTTCCTTCGGCTTAGTCCCTTTATTAATCAGGAGTTGCCACAGCGGAATGAACCGCCAACTGATCCAGCATATGTTTTACACAGCGGATGCCCTTCCAGCTGCAACCCAGTACTGGGACAACAATTCTAAGCGCACCAATTTAGCAGCCTTGGGTTTAACGTTTATTATTTTTAAACATCACGGTCATAATTAATATGACACACTCAAAACAAGATTTTAGCTGTTTGTTTAAACTACTTATTTAAAATGGGCTGAATCAACACAATTATCTAGGGATTTTAAGGACAACCTAATTGTTTTATGTTCAAACCACTTAAATTTGTTAAAACAATTAATTGATTTGTGTTGGAGTTGGAATTGTGTGAAACCCAGCATTTTTTTCAGTGCGGTTACGGTCTGGTGCGGACTTAACCAATAATTGAGGTAAGCAGGCGCCTTTGGCCCCAGGGAATTAGGGGACTATATTAATCATATAGCTCTTTCATAAATCATCCATAAGGTGTTGTAAAATCGGGGCGGCACGGTTAGCACTGTTACCTCACAGCCAGAAGATTGCTGGTTAGTATTTCTGAGTGGAGTTGGTATGTTCTCTTGGTGTTGGTGTGGGTTTCCCCCGATGCTCTTGTTTCCCCACATCTTGAGACTGAATTGGCTGTAGTTTTGTGTCATATCAGGACACAAATCTGTATAATGACAAGGGTATGATGACACAGGTATTACAAAAAGGAGGTGAAATATGAGGACATTGGTGACGTCCTCATTTCTCAAAATGCTTATAAATACTACAGAATGAGTTTAATCAGAGAGTAAAGCTGCACACAGTCTCCTGTGATGGTTGGGTGGGGTGGGGTGAGGGCAATATAATATACGGTTTGGGTAGTATAAAATGAATGAAAACCTTTGTAATGTCCCCACTTTTCACAAAAACAAACGTGTGTGTGTGTGTGAATAAATGAGTGTGTGTATGGGTGTTTCCCAGTACTTGGTTGCGGCTGGAAGGGCATCCACTGTGTAAAACATATGCTGGATAAGTTGGTGGTTCATTCTGCTGTGGCGACCCCTGAAATAGAGACTAAGCAGAAGGCAAATGAATGAATGTTGTATAATCTGTCTATAACCATTACGATTTTAAAGGTATTACTTCTTTTAAAACCGGGGACTCTCCATAAATAGTGGAACGTTCTTCTCGTACTGCACATGCTAATATTCAAATCTAATCACAAATATGGCGAATTAACTACATTTGTGAACTTGTTTTTTATTTGTGACTTATTATTTATTTTCGTTTTACATTAAAAAGATAAAGGTTTCATTCATTAATTCATTTTCCTTCGGCTTAGTACCTTTATTCATCAGGGGTCGCAACAGCGGAATGAACCGCCAACTTATCCAGCATATGTTTTACACAGCGGATGCCCTTCCAGCCGCAATCCAGTACTGAGATACACTCTCACTGAGATAAACTCTAAGCACACCAATTTAGTTGATTCAGTTCACCTATATCACATGTGTTTGGACTGTAGGGCAAATCGGAGCACCCAGAGGAATCCCACATCAACACCAACTTACATTTCTGTGGTAGCTTCACACACGTAAATTCAATCATTTATGAGAGGCGATGGCAGAAATACAAAAAAAATTCTGTAAATTGTCCTTTCTTCATACATTGTGATGCGTCATGCTTGTTTATTTTTGAGTTGTGCATGGACATGAATAAAGGTTTTCTATAAATAGATGCAAGTTTTATATGTACATTTCCCATTTGGCTCTTAAAAATGCATTTGATAAAATAAAAAAATCAGCTGAAAAAAGGTTCCTGACCCTTGGTATTGCCTATATGATAAAGTACTATATTTATGTCATTTAGCTTTTTAGTTAATGTGTCATTAAATCCAATCTTTCATTTAGATCAGTCTATACACATTTTATGAATATCAAAACGGTTTACATGATCATCAAGAACTTGTTAGAAAGAAAACTTGTTAAGATTGAAAGTGTATTTCCTTGATGCTATATTTAGATTCTGATGCTAGAGATGTCCAAAGTCCATTATCATATCTGCATGGATATTAAAACACACCCAGACATAAACACACACACACACACACACACACACACACACACACACACACACACACACACACACACACACTCACACACACAGATTGGGTTGATTATTAGCTATATTATACCACAAGGATGTAAAAAGCTGTAAAATCTAATAAAATAATTTTAAAATAACATTTTTAATAAAGCTCAAATAAAATAAGTAGTATAAATATAATAATTTTAACCATCAGGTAACACCACTTCTGTGTGATTCTTTTATTCTTATTTTTGTATTTTATTGATTGAAGATTTTGTAAAAACATAACACCAAATAGTGTACTGTCATGACCACCAGCGAACAATACCACCAGAGGTCGCTGGTAAACACTCACACACACATAGGACTACAAATCTGCTTATAAATGGACTACATATTCAGTCATGCAACACACACACAACTGGTTCCTGATCCTGACTGATTGCATACACAGCTGATGCTGCTCAAGTACTGATTACACACACATATAAACAGCACCGAAACTTTCACTGTTGCTGAGTCTTGTTCATCTGTTTAGTAACATTACAACGCGTTTCCTAGTCTTGGTTTCCTGTGTTTTGACCTTAGCCTTGTTAGCCTTTTTGTCTTAGTCTGCCACCTGCCTTACGACCTCTCGTCTGTTATTTGACTACGATTCTGGACTGCCTCTATACATCTGTTTGCACCTGTGTTGACCCAATGACTGTAAAAAATATGGACGACGCGACAGCCCCTTTTCCCATTGAACGCCTTGAGGGCAAAACGCCTGCTTGACGGGCACAAACTGTCGCAAAAGACTGCTGAAATTGGAGCCTTGACATGCGCAGAAGGACTGTCTGATGGAGCCAGAGGAGGAGCCGCGAAAATGAGCTTCCAATCAAACGCTTTATGTAAAATCAACCACGCCCCCCGAACTTCTCAGCATACGTTTGCTGTCATATCAACACAAATGGATGTAATAACGTTAACAAATATGAGGGTTTTATATATTCAATCGCGCCAGCTCTGGGCCGCAGCGCACATAACCTACTCGCGGCGTCGCGGGCTGATTCCGGCTCGCATGCGGCAGCGCCGGCTCGCTCGGCCGCCGCATCTGGCTCGATTGACTCGGACTGGAATCGGGCAGTGAGTCCAGGCATCCGGAGTAGGTCCAGCAGAGGTAGTCAGTCTGAGCTCTGAGGTAGAGATCTGCGCGGGACAAAATTTTGAATCCCGCACCCGCCAGGTTTTAGCCGGAACCCGACCGCTCCCGCTTATATTAAGCACTTGATGTCCTGCTGCCCGACCCGCCCCGTTTTCTATCCGCCGCGCCCGATCTCGCTAAAGAGCGGGGGGAGAACAAAACCGAAAAATCACCCAGTTATACAGTCCAGACAGCCTATAACAAGCTGTCTGTATAAACACACACACGCACAGCACCAAGCACACACACACAGACAAAGCTTTCTCTCTCATTCGCGCGCGCGTGCCCTCTAACACACACTCATAAGCACCAAGCACAAACACAGGCAATGAGGCAAAGCTCCCTATCTCTCATTCGCGTGCGCGCACACACACACACACACACACACACACACACACACACACACACACACACACACACACACACACACACACATACATACATACATACATCTCTCATTCGCGCGTGCGCATACATACACACACACACTGCAACAAACAAGCTAAACACAGCATCGCCCTATTTCATTTACACACATACATTCGATCCGTTATCGACCGCTCCCGTGATTTATTCGGAAATTTATACCTGCGCCGTAGAAATCTGGTCGGGTCCCGCGGCGCCCGCAGACCTCTACTCTGAGGGGTAAGTCTCCGGAAGGCGAGAATCTAGCCGGAACTGGCCCGAGTGTATTTTGCTATCTGGGTGGCTAGGCGTGGATCAGCAAACTAATAAAGCCCGAAAAAAGCCCTGACCTTAGCGAATAAACAGTGTTCCACCAGGATCATGTATGTCAGAAACTATAGTTTACTGCTGAACTCATTTTGTCATGGTAAAATAACACAGAAATCGAATAATAACACTTCAGTCTCCTGCCGAAGCTCAGACCCGCTGCTTTGAGAAACTGTCAATCACCGCTGTCAATCACGATGACACGCCCAGCATTAAATTACTGCTAAAAACAAACTGTTTACAAAAATGAGGATCTGCACCTATTACAGCACAATAACCAGTGCCTTAATCGACCAGAACCATCTTTCGGGACATTTTATTGCAAGTGTAATTAATTTTTTTATTTGGGCTCAAGTCTCCTTCATTAACATGGAGGAGGCGGGCTTTATGACTTGTACTGCAGCCAGCCCCCAGGGGGCGATCTAACGGCCGAGACCTTCACTCAAACGCAGGCTTGCGGCACACTTGGTGTTGACCATTGCTTGCCTGACTCCGAAAAAACCTGCATGTGGATCCAAACCTCAGTTGTCATTGTCACTCCCCTTGTTACATGTACATCATGTATATATGTTAACAAAATTATCTGTGCGTTATTACCTAAGACTAACTAGAACATGCACCAAAACACTAGCAAACAATACAGCACCATCAACAACAACGACAACAAAAAGATCTCAGCCAAACTAATGGAATTAGAAACAAAATAGAGAAAAAATTATTACCAAAAAATGTATTACAGAAACATTACTAACCTATACATCTAAAGAAAAGTGCCAATATTTTGTCAACTGTTTGCCAAATCTAGAGAAATGTAACCTTTCCAGCTTTCAGGGCAAAAACCATTTCAGCTAGCCTTTTTAAAAAGTTGGAGGTGTCGTGGATTTCCACTCCATCAGCATCAATCTGTTGGCCAGCACCATGCCAAACATAACCGTAAGTTCACACCGAAAGCGGCGAGAGCGTCAAAGTAGCCGGAAGTCATTCATTTTCAATGAGAGCCGGCGGCGATAAGCGGCGAGGAGCAGCGCGGCGCGTCTTCGCCGGCGTGAGCGTCAAGGAGAGTTGAAATGAAGTCAACTTTATGGTAATGAGCTATGACGCGGTTCGGCGGCAAGCAATCAGAATGAAGACGTCCATCGCTTGATAGCAGTTCAGAGAACACAGAACTGTGAACTTTGGTTCCGACCACAGTTGTTCCCAAGGGTTTGATTACTGCGGTCGCCGGATTTTCAATTATTTACTATTTTTTCCTACAGGAACATGCATTAAATAAGTTACTGATGTTCATTAATGTTATATAAATTTATCTTAAAAAAGCGGGAATCTCACGCGATGTGAAAGTACATCTGCTTCAGGATATTTCAGCCATATGAACACATATTGGATAAATAGAGCAAAGCCGCTCCACACGCAACTTGATCTTCCATTGTTGTATGAATTTGATAAGAAGTGCGCAACATTTTCACACTAGAAACATGTTTTATGCAGGAATGTAACTGATATGCTGCAACGGCTCCTTTAAATACGAGATCAATGTAGCGAGTTTTGACGCTCTCGCCGCAGGAGCTGAAGGCAGATAGCGTTGTCGCCAGGGCGGCCAGAGCGACCTTGGACGCTCTCGCCACTTTCGGTGTGAACGTACGGTAAGGGAATTGCTGATGTTTATGTCAAGTTAGAGCCTGGTCTGAACATCCAAACAGTGCTATTTCCACATCAATTTTAATGTCCATTTCAAAAGCCTGGGAATAAAGTCTGAAGATACTTTTCCAAAATTCAGATACTTCTAGACAGGACCAGAATATATGAGCATAGGTCCCGACTGCGCCTATGCATTTCTCACACAAAGGAGAGATAGAAGGATACAGCTTATTAAGTTTGTCTTTAGTATAGTGTAATCTATGCATCACTTTAAATTGTATGAGCTGTAGGCTTACATTTATACAGCAAGAATGAATACGACTCAGTCCCTCCTAGTAAGTAGAGGATGAAATGTTAATTCCCTCTCCCAATAATCTTTAAGGTGTACAGTAGAGACTAAAACGTGAGGGGCAAACAGATATATAAATTTAGTCACTAAATGTTTCTCCATTGGGCTTCTTTGTGATTTACTCTGAAAGCTTTAAAGTGAAGTCATAATGATGTTTAGTTTTAATGTACTGCTCAAAAAGAAAAAAAAATGGTCACACTTTACAATAAGGTTCATTATTTAATGTTAATTAATGCATTTACTAACATGAACAAACAATGAAAAATACATTTAGTACTGTATTTGTTCATGTCAGTTAAGGTTAGTTAATGAAAATACAGTAGTTCATTGTTAGTTCATGTTAACTCATGGTGCATTAACTAATGTTAACGAGCATGGACTTGGATGTTAATAATGCATTAGTAAATGTTCAAGTATGATTAATAAATGCTATACAAGTGTTGTTCATGATTAGTTCATGTTATTAAATGCATTAACTAATGAACCTTATTGTAAAGTGTTACCGAAAAATAAAGGAATCATTTAAACAACACAATATTACTCCAAGTGTTCCCTTTCATTTTGAGCAGTGTATATACATTCCCTTAATACAATATATTAAAAATAATCCTTATAGGCTAACAATTAGTCTGAATTATGTCTTTAGTCATTTTAATTAGCGTTTCATAAATATTTATATTATACATCTTACAGAATGATCCTGTCCTTTGTGCAGATTGTTGTTGATAATGATTTAATTGTGTTTGCTTGCCCTTCATAACTGCTGTGCTGAACAGATGCTGTAAAACTAATAGAAACAACAGTGTAGAGGGGGAGCATGAAAGAGCGGCTGTGTAATTAGGCGGGGTTTATCAGTCGTGTATGATGGATTTAATATATAATTACACATTTTTTACAGTTTGCTTGCAGTTCAAAGTTAGCAATAAATGATTTTCAGTGTCATTATTGAACTGCCTTCTCAAAGATCTGAGCTCTGATGATCACGTGATGCGTGTTGTTTTTATTAGCGCTGATCATGATGGACCAATCACGGCCGTTTGACTAACAACAGATAGTCGGAACGAAAATAGCACCATAGAACAACAAAAAAATAGCAAAATAATATTAAAACAAGACTCTTAATTAGAACTAAAGACAATGCAAATTCACAGTTTTAGTCAACACCAAATAAACCAAGAGATCTGAATTGCAAGTGTTAAACAGAATCAAACAGATATTTATTCATTTTCATTTTGGTTTAGTCCCTTTATTAATCAGGGGTCGCCACAGTGGAATGAACCACCAACTTATCCAGCCTATGTTTTACGCCAGAGGTTCACAAACTTTTCAGCACGCGACCCCTAAAATAACAATGCCAGTGTCTCGCGACCCCCAATATCCTCTGAGGTGGTTATAAATACAGAAATCTTGCATGCAATGGTTCACTCACACACCAATAGACCAAGGTCTATTCTTCGTTTAATTTTTTTTTATGTATGTCAGTGCTGTAAATGGGCCAGAAAGTTTAAGCTGGTGTTATAAAATCAATCTGCTGCATCTGACGCTATTGCTGTCTTTAATATAATGTATTTACCCCTGGGGTCGCAATCCAATAGAACTAGTAAAAAAGCTACTATAGTAACAATAAATGACTGTTTTATTCTCTTCAGTTGGTTATGGATAAAATATGGTAATTCTTATGGCCTAATAATAATAATAAGTAGATTTTTGGAAATCACCAGGCGACCCCTCTTCATTGTTCCGCGACCCCTCAAGGGGTCCCGACCCCCACTTTGAGAACCACTGTTTTACGCAACGGATGCCCTTCCAGTTGCAACCCATCTCTGGGAAACACCCATACACTTCCATTCACACTCACAGTACCGACAATTTAGCTACCCAATTCACCTGTTCCGCATGTGTTTGGATGTGTCTCTCAGACCAGAGAATCAGATCTTAAAACAAAATGAATATAACTTGAACCAGACTAAATAAATACAAATGTGCAAAAAGAGCTAAAACCAAAGTTAGAATGGGAACTATATAATGACTAATGTAGCCTACATTAGTGATTAGTTCCCATTATAACTCCCATTTACTTTAGTTTAACCTATAGAATTCATTTTAAATGAAATAAATGATACTAGAGACTAGCACGTGTAAAAAAACAGAGCCAGAGATAATTTATAGAATTCAAGCTATAGAATTAATTTTAAATGAAATAAATGATAAGTTTTATCAAACTAGAGACTAGTATGTGTAAAAAAAAATCAGAGCCTGAGTTTATTTATACTTCTGAATCTATAAATGTGTCCTATTAAACAAAACATAACCGAGATCTTCCACAATTGTGAGCCACCGCGCGCCCCCTGCAGGAAGAACTCGGCACTTGTCAATGAAAACACTAACATTAGATTTTCCTCAGACTCGCACTCGCTTTTATTATATCAGAGATGGTCGCCAGGCGGCTCTGAGCTCCCGGAGAAGCCGAAAAGGAGCGGGTGAGCCCCTGACAGAGGAGTAAATCTGCAGATCAACACAAATCCTCCTGTTTCTGTTTCCTCCAGCGGCGGCGGTCAGCCTTTCTCCAGCCGCCCCGGCGCGTCCGAATAGCGGATACTATAATCATAATCATCCGTGCGCTTGAAGAAAAAAACCCAGATCGTGTTTACGGCGACTTTACGGTAAGAATGATTTATTCTGAATCTAAACAAGCGTTGAATGTGGCACATGTGTAGGAATGTTGTTTTTCGCTGCGCGTAAAGGTGCGTAAAGGGTTGATGCGCCCATAAATACTCGCACGTGTGAAGATTGGTTTGTGTGTAAAACGGGTTTTCTTCATGTTCATGTTTGAGAATGCATTTGTATGTCTGGTTCATGCTGCTTATGATAAGCAGATTTTGATGGAGCGCGTATTGGTTGTGTTGGTAACCCGGGTGATCTGTAGGTTTCCTCGCAATGTGGGTTAGTGGAGCGAGCTGAAAGGGGAGTTTTGGGAATGGTTTATTGGGACTCTGTTCACCGTCATCCCCGCAGGTCTGCAAAAGTGAGCTTGCGGAGGAGAGGAATGTCATGCACGAGCGTAGGTGTGTTTGTTTCACAGCTGAGACTGAAATAGTACCAGAACCAAACACACTCAAGTAGAACCAAGACTAGAACTGTAATACAGATCCAGTACTGTTTACTAACGCAGCAGTGCGTCTATTGAGGTAAAGTTGGTTTTATATTCGCACATTCGTTCAAGTGTCAACTTGTGACAAGCTCCCTGTATTATTTACCATGGTACTTTTGAATATTCGTTCTGGAATAGCATGTATGACTTTAAAACAACATCAGCAGTATATATTTGACTGTAAACAATACTTTGATAGTCATTGGCTGATATTATGATTTCCTTATTTAGAATTTGCAATTTGACATTTATAATAATAAGGAGAAAGTCAGAATGTGTGAATATAAAACCAACTGTACCTCAATAGTGTGTCCTAATCTGTTTTGACATGAGTGTATTAAGTATTATTTCATTTATTTTCCTTCAGCTTAGTCTCTATTTCAAAGATCGCCACAGTGGAATGAATCGCCAACTATTCTGGCATATGTTTTACGCACTGGATGCACTTCTAGCCACAACCCAGTACTGGGAAACACCCATACACACTTATACATACACACACACACACAAACACACACACACACACTCATACACTACGTTCAATTTAGTTTATTCAATTCACCTAGCGCATGTGTTTGTACTGTGGGGAAGGAAGAAACTAGGCATGGGCTGGTATAAGATTCTGATGGTATGATAACCTTGGATAAAAATATCACAGTTTCACGGTATCAGGATTACTGCTCCAAAATAAGTTATTTTTAAAAGTCTGGTTAATAAACAATGACTTTTCCCCCATTTAACACGATATATCTTATATTAAGAAACATTTAAAATATTTTAGAGCAGTAGCTTTTGGTGTGGAGGTTCCTTTTCTGCTGGACATACTGTTGCCCTAAAAAACTCAACAAAATAATTGCCAAAAACATGTTTAAAATAAAAATCTTACACATACCTTATGCCGAGTTCAGACTGCATGATTTTCAAACTAGTCGTGTCACAGATGTTTTCACACTGCATGACTATCTGGGCTAGCGTTTCGTCGCTGCTTTTACACTGCAAGATGGTTCGGCGACATGGACATTCACATTGCACGACTTTACTATAGGGAGAATCGCCGACAACTTCGTCCAAACTACGTCTCACAGCCAAAAACATGTAGTATATCTTTTGTTATTAACTACATAATGAGAAAGAAACTTTTAATGGGGTAGAACATGTACATGTTTGCTCACCTGGGTTTAAAGGGAATTAGCCATTTCTCCTTAACGTTGATAATAAACTAATTTCTTTCTGTATGAAATGTCAAACAGACACGGTCCTGCTCCTGAGTCCTGTCAAACCACCACTAGTTTTCCCTCCATTTCGTGGGTCCAAATAAACCGAAAAAGAGCGCTTTTAACTTCTCCCCATGCCTCCCGCTGGCCTGCAGCAGGTATACACACACACACACACAAGTGAAAGCTGCTCTCTCATTGGCTGTAGGCGATCGCTGATGTTATTTTCAGTCAAAACTCAATTCACACGGCATGATTTGAATCGCCGACAGCTCCAGATATTTAGCATGTCAAATATCTCACAGGCATCGGCGATTCTCTCAGATCGCGTCTTTGATCGTTCATACTGTGTGATTGTCACTCCCGTGCACAAGCAGCGATTTGCCTGTGATTTCAGGCATTTGTCGGCGATTTCTCAAAACATGTCGGCGAGCCAAATCGGGGCTAAAATCACGCAGTCTGAACTAGGCATTAGGAACGGTATAACAGAAAACTTTGTCGGTTTTAAAACCTTGACTTTTTCAAATCGCGGTAAACCTTGAAATTGGTTATCATCCCAAGCCTAGCAGAAACCCACAGAAAAACCCACGCCAACACAGCGAGAACATGCAAACTCCACACAGAAATGCCAACTGACCCAGCCGGGACACAAACCAGTGATCTTCTTGCTGTGAGGCGACAGTGCTAACCACTGGCCCAAAAGTATTATTTGCTAATCCTAAATGGGGAAATGATATTGTCAGTCAATGACTGTCCGAGCACAACATTGTTCACAGTCAAATAAAAAGTGCCTATGTTGTTTTGAAGTCCTTGCATGTGAATATTGTTGTTTGTTTGCTTTATTTATAGAGCACATTTAAAAACAACAGATATTGACCAAAGTGCTTTGCAAAACGACCAGCATACAAAATCTACCTATATATAAAAATTAAGCAAAATATATAAAACAGATTAAAATTGATTAATTGCAATCAAAGACAAGAGACAGAAGGTGATTTTTTTTTTTAGATGCAGGGCTCGAAATTGCGACCATTTTGGTCGCATATGCGCCCGAAAATTAATCTATGCGACCTCATAATATATTTGGGCGCATTAGTGCGACTGCTGATAATGGTTGTAGTGCGACCTGTTTTGATTTTTTGTAAAAACATGCTGAATCGCTCTTCCCTGCCGCTATATTGGTTCATATTAGCTGTCAATCACTCAAGGTATTCCGCTGTCAGATGACGGGGAAGGAGCTTTTATGACCACGGGAAATGCAAACGGCAGAAGAGTAAAAACTTAAAGCACACAGGTTTGCAAACCCCACCTAAAGTTGAGGCGCAGATGAGAGCGATCATGACACGTCACGTGGTGAATAATGATCCACCAGCTGAGATCAATCGAGTACGCGCTTCATGGAGAAGGCGCCCGAATCTCCATGCGTTGCATTCACTGCGTTCAGCGCAAATGTCCGCTAAAAGTCAAATCTAATACTGTACATATCATTGCCAAAGAAGCTCGCCTTTACTAAATTTACACTGAAACTGCGTCTCATAACAAACAGCGGTATTGCGCCGGTGGTCATCGCAAGAATCTTGCGCTGCCTGCTCATAAATTGGGTCGGCTGAATCGCCAGCTTTTCCACAAACACAGAAAAATGAAGATCATCTCAGACTGAACCTTTAAATTGACACAAACTGAAACCAAAACTTTTAAAGAGTGATAGAAGTGAGACTTTACTTTCTTTCTTTTGTCTATTCTTTTTTGAGGTGTATATTATTTTTATTTTTTTATTTATTTACTGATGACTGCTTTGCAGCTTTCATCATTGAATTGAATGATTTATTATAATCTTTTGTTTGTTTTGTAGCAGAAATATTATTTATTAAATTGACATGCATATAAAAACAGCAGTACAAAATAAATATTTCTTACTGCAATGCTTCATTTTTGTTTGATGCAAACTATACAATTATTTTTCATAAAGTAACAGACTTTTTATAGCAGATAACCTACATTCATGCACATTCAAGGCAGTATCATAATGAGAAATGTAATTCATTTTTACTATTATTGTCATTTTCATCATCATTAATATTCTATAATTATTAGACATTCATTTTGGAATTATTGCACACAAATATCAATGTCTTCGCAGCATTAGTTAAAATAAATAAATAAAATAATAAATAAATAATAAATAAATCCCTTAAAAAGCAATTTGCAGCGGTGCTCAATCATTTTTGGTGGTGCTCCTAAATTTTTTTTGGTGCTCCTAAATATTTGAAGTTGGGAGCACCGGTGCTACCAAGTAAAAAAGTTAATTTCGAGCCCTGAGATGAGACTTAAAAGCACCAAGTGAAGAACATGACCGGATCTGTAAAGGAAGACCATTCCACAGTCGGGGGGCTGCAGCAGAAAAAGCCCTGTCACCTCTTGATTTCAACCGTGTTTTGGGGACAACCAGCTGAAACGTGTTTTTGTTCAAAGTAGCATGGTAAACAATATAGGGACTGTGCCACAAGTTGTCACTAAATGCATGTGTGAATATAAAGCCAATTTTACCTCAATGAATCAAACACTGAAGTACAACCAATATTACAACTAACATCCCGATCTAGTACAAGAACTGCTGTAATAAGTGCGGTTTATTCATAAACTAATTTCGAGAGGATCACGTGCTTATAATCAACACGGCTGGCTCCTTGTTAGCTCCGTAATCAGCCCTATTAGATGATTACGGAAGCATTATAAATAACCTGAGTTTTTCACTCCAGTTATCTTCGTCTTGAAGCTCCCCCCTTTCCACCCCCACATCCTCCCACTTTTTTCTGATCGGGCGACTCGGTGGCCCAGTGGCTAGCACTGTTGCCTGACAGCAAGAACACCGCCGGTCCAACCCATCGGGCCGGTTGGTGTTTCTGTGTGGAGTTTACATGTTCTCCCCGTGTTCGCGTGGGTTTTCCCCGGGTTCCCCGGTTTCCTCCCACCGTCCAAAAACATAAACCATAGGCAATCGACTAAAACAAATTATCACCCAATACAACCTTAAGCCCCTTTCACACAGTGATACCGGTAAATATCTGGAAAATTTCCGGAACGACTTTACCGGTATATTTAAAAAAGCGCTGTTTACACAGGCGAGGACGTTACGGAAATTTTCCGGAAAAGAGCATTCACACATCCATTCCAAAATACCGGTAAATTCTGACATCATTCACCACAAATGAGCTTTAAACGGCTGCGCTTGTGTTTGTAAACATTTGACTAAATTACAAACTCTGTGGATGATCAATATTGTGAACAACTTTCGCAG